GGGGGGTCGGGCAGCCTAGCGCGTACGTCCCAAGCACGTCCAGCACTCTGGCGCTGGTGTAGCATACTGACAATACGTACGAGGAAGGGGCGATGATAGGAGCTACGATCACCGCCCCATGAATTCATCACAAGGGCCCCATGAATTTATAAACAAACAAGAGGACTCACGACGTGACGATTAATAAACAGATGAAAGTACATTCCCGGACTTTTCTGATCGTAGGAGCACATTTGCTTGCAATTGGGAAGCCCTATCTAGAAGTTACACCTTTCAAACACCTGCGTGAAAGCCCCATGCATGGCGCATTGCATATGTGATGCCAATTGGCGCCCAATGGCCTATTACCTGATATGCTTGACGAAAACATGTGTTTCAGAAGCATACCAAAGTCTTCGAGCCAACTGGAGGTTTCCTGGCCTCGGAGGGGTTGATTTTTCGTGTCGTGGGGGGTGATTACAAAATGATCACAACGGGGAATTTTTTCGAATAGTAGGTCTAGGAAGGAAATTAAAACCTTGCTGGAAAGTAGAAATCTTCAAGCTTCCGGCACAGTTCTTTTTTTACGAAAGGCGCGTGTATGAAGCTTGGGCCATGACGTCAAAGCGCTAGCGGACTACCGCGGTTGCGCAAAAATGATCACAGATGATCACAAAGATGATCACAACGGGGAAAATCTCTGGAACCGGAACGTTTTTAAAATCGCTCAATTCAGGTGATAAGAGCCAACCTAGCTCTACTCATTCCCACTTACCCCTCTCCGATAGCTTCACTTTCAACGAAGTTATGGGTGTTCAAATGAGGGGTACTTTTCACGTGTTTGGCTTGAAATTGGCTCCAAACCGTAAAATAGCGCGCACCAATGCGCTTGTATGAGCGCGCTGACCGCGAACAGCCAAAATTTAAAAGTAATCCCATAGTTCCGGTTCCCAGCTGAGAGGTGAGTTTTTTCTTATCCACTTCATTGTGATTACTTTGGTTGTTTGTTTTGTTGAGTCGCGCATGCCCTTTAATCTTGCTTTTGAATTTGATTTTGTTGTGAGGAAATTGCTCAGGATTCAATTTCTACGGTTTCATAGGTAGCTTTTGCAATGATTCTTTTCTAGATTTTGCGGATTAGTGGATTGGGATTTACCTAGACCAGATGAGGAGGGTTGGTGGGCGAAGTGTCTTGAAGTTTTTTGTGAGGAAGGAGGAAAAAGTTTCAGCAATATTTTTTTTTTAGTTTTTGGCCTAGGAATAGTTCGATAGTGCCTAGTTCTATTTATTGTCATCTACATCGTCCCTTTTGAGCTTCTTTTTACTTGTACCGTGTATCACCGCTCTCTCCACTTCAACATGGGCCATGCGTTTACGACCCCCCCCCCCCCTCCATCGCGGGCAAATACGAAATATCCTCTTCCGTCTTCTCGAGCCTGCAAAAACTACCATAGAGGGCATGATATCCAGAGAGGGCGCGGGAACATCAGATGAACGTGGGAGCTGCCTTCGAGGATAAAACGTACAGCGCTCACAGATCCCTTTTCATTGAACCACCGCGCATTCCATTTCGTTAGCAGTTGTAGTGGGCTTTGTTACGGTTTTGTCTACACAACGACTCGATGGATTAGGGGGGGGGGAGAAGAAAGGCCGCCGATGTGTCAAGTCAGCGTTTTCGCACTCGAAGGTAAATCGGGTGGCGCTATCCTCTCGTATTTTTGAGCTGCGAACTTAGCACAGCCATCATCTCTGTAGACAAAGCTACGACTCTAAGGAAGGGCGTAGGAACATCGAATGAACGAGTCCGCCATTAGATAATTTTGCACGACGTCGCGGTCATCGCGCGTACGAAACCGAATGGAACTCTGTAAGTTGAAACTAGTGTTATTTTCTTAAAAGCAGGTTTCAAGGAGCATCTTCAGCAGATATGACCACAAACAGAAACAGTAAAGATTCTAACAGACGCTTGGAGCAAACAACAAAAAGAGCACGATCTTGGTGAAGAAATTTCAGCAAACGTCTCTAAAGATAGTCTCAATTATGTTACTTTTGAAGACTATTATGAGAAACCGGTTTCAGTGCAGAGCTGCCTGTTAGTCGTACGAAAGAACAACCCAATAAAAATTGTCTCAAGCCGCCATCCTACTTTGTGACACTTTAGACTAGGAGAATCGCAGAATAGCGGTATCCTGTTGAACGCTAAGCCGCTCTGTCGAACTGGGCCACATTTTTCTTGAGTCCTTTTCGGGCCCTTCTTCCTTCTCGTCTTACTGTATGCTTTAAACTTCTGTTATCTAATATCACATATTCCCTCGTCATCGACCGTTCAATATTTTTTGGTATCTGGAAATAACATTTGGTTTAAACATTCAGGTCTCAATTAGTTTCGCGTGCACAGCGACCGCAACGTCTCCCGGACTAGGCGAACTTCGGGGTATTAATAGCGAAATTCCCGCTCCATAAGAGAATATGCTCGGGTTTTGTCCATGCCGACTGACCTTATTAACTTTCAAGTCACGTCGAAAAAGATCGAGGCCATTTTCGAAGATTCACCAAAAAAAATAAAAAATTATGGAATGCTCACACGAGTCTACTGGTGCGCCCTCTATTGGATGGAGAAGGCAGAAAATTCGGTGCATGGACTCCGGATAAGCCGCTGCAGGGGAGGGAGAAACTCACCGGTTACGCGGATGCAGAGCGTACCGCGCGATGTTGCCGTGATGGTGCCGTGACGGCGGAGGAATGAACACTGGGAGGCGTTGCCATCACTATGATTTGAAAGATAGCTCCTTGTCAACCCATTTTTACCTTTATTTTGTAGAGCTGGTGCGCATTACCGGTTTTGACTGTACCATTCGCAAACATTCCGAGTAGTTCCATTGCTTCACCTTGATTGCATGCAAAAGATTATGTTAAAATGCTTGAATCACCGCCTCAGCCCTCCATAGTAATGCACTAAAACTGACAAAAATCAAATTATCATTAAAAAACAAGCAGACCACCTTATAGAGCAGAACATTCTTTGTTCAGAGCTGTAAAAGGTATTCGCAAAACACTTCATTCACCACTCAAAAGTGAGGCAAGAAAGAAGGCCACTGATGGGCCAGCCCAGTAGTTGAAACACTATATGGCAACTGCACTGCGTGACATTGTAAAGATCATGCAGTAATAAAACAATGTTGACATCAGTTGACTGATGATACGAAGAATACCACGTAGTTCGTCCTTACTATTTCTTTAAAGTAGTACTCGTTCTACTTCAAGACTATCCAGTCTTTTCCTTTTCTTTTTCATTCCCTCCAGCCTGGGAGATTGTTTGGGAAGTGGAGCGGTTTCTCGGAACGGTTCTTTCCACAATGTACGGGTACTCCTAAGGATTTCCAGCATGATATTAATATTACAATCCTCATCATTACGGACTGTCGGGGCGTGTCAGTGCGGCTGCGTTTGGCGCGGTACCGAAGTCGTTCTGCACCAATTGTTGAAGCGGGCAAGTGACATTACTGTATTATATCCTTCGTATTACTCGTTTTCTACCACTTTTTGTCGCATACGCGTTTCAACAAAAAGGCTGAGAACGGCTTCAACAGTGTGCGCACTCCTACTGGCTGACACGCCCCGACAGTCCGTAATGATGAGGACAGTAATTGGACCACTCTGATAACGCCAAAAAGGATAAGGATAGTAGGTCTACGTTTGGATCTCCACGGTGACAGAGTACTGCTCCCCTACACCTTTCACTCTACTTGTGCTGGTATATGCTGTATCTTTTGTCCTAAATGGAACATGCACGAATAATCTTTTGTTCACGAAACAAGGACTCTTCCTGCTGTAAAACTTGTTAAAGACATGTTTCTCGATCAACTAGGCTAGAACTTCTCAAACGTAACTAGGCTAGAACTTCTCAAATGTAAAGTATTGTTCGCTAAGAATAAAGGGGCGTGTCAGTCAGTCTAGGACTGGCGCGCCGCTAGCCCATTTTCCACCGGTTTTCGAGCGGCAACAGTTGGTGGAAAAGGACTGGCACGAACGATATTACAGTACCCTCGTTTGCCAAAAGGAAAACAAGGAAAAAAGCGCTGGCGCCGTTCCCAACCCACTCCCGATTGAAACGCCCTATCACTCGCAGCGAACAAGACTGTGCAAAGTACAGTCCTCATCATTGCGGACCGGTGGGGCGTGTCAGCCAGTATGAGTGTGCACACTGTTGAACTGTTGAAGCCGTTCTCAGCCTTTTTGTTGAAACGCGTATGCGACAAAAAGTGGTAGAAAACGAGTAATACGAAGGATATAATACAGTAATGTCACTTGCCCGCTTCAACAACTGGTGCAGAACGACTTTGGCACCGCGCCAAACGCAGCCGCACTGACACGCCCCACCGGTCCGCAATGATGAGGACTGTATGTATTGATCCCTGCAAGCGATAGGGCGCGGAAGCGTCAAGTGGAGCGCAACAGGGCGCCTTTTCCACCAAATAACCTCATCCTGAGCCCGCTAAAGTTCTCTTGCACTAAATAGTCGGTAAATTATACAGTGAATCAGCAGTGCACTGGAAACTAGTGCTGCAGTTGCTGGGAAAAGCTGATCCATTCCCGGTAATGTGTCTTACGGTTTGCAGGATTAATGACTGTATACTGTAGATCCACCAGTTCGCAGACGATAGATGTAACCAGATAAAATGAAACATTCCCAGGGGCTGTTCGGCGAGGGGGAGGGGGCATAATGCACATTTACTACTTCCCATCAACCTGTCGACACATCTAGAGAGCCTTTTATTGAGTTGACAGGTTTCACCATGGGCTTGCTCCAGCTTCATAAGAGTTCACAGGTTTCACCAGAGTGACTTGTTAGCCGGAACTAGTGATACAGCGAAAGTGCCAAACCGAACCGCACCCATTCTGAATATGTTAGTCATTTCCAGATCAGTCTACTTGATATGTTAAGAAACTTCATTATAGTGTATCTTTTGACGAAGAATTCGGGCTCCTTCGTCATACAAAAAAAGGAAGCAACGACGACGATGAAACTGGAAAAAATTCGCTTCGATCCGAAGTACTGCCATCCAAAAGTACTTCTCGACTTCGTTCCTATACTGAAATGGTTGCCACAGTACAATGTCAAAAATAATCTTGTCAGAGATATCATCGGTGGACTTACTGTCGGCATTATGCATGTTCCACAAGGTTTGTTCGTTGTGAATTCAAGTCATTTTCATTTTTACAGTGTAAAAATAAAAATTTCTCAATAAAAAACAGCTTCGTAAAGTTCCGAAATTTCGCTTTTGTGATTCTCTGGACAGGGAGAACTATCTTCCCTGTGTTCATTGGATAGATATTGATCTCCTGTAAGGGTAACGGAGAGCGTCGCCGAGGAGGCGGAGCGGCGGCACCATCGTCGTTGGGTAAGGAACTCACGGCAATTCCTTGAGCGTTCGTGGATATATCTCAGCAGCCATCCACAAATGGATGGAACAACGCTCCACTACATCCACTTGTCAAGTACCTGCTCCCAATCAGTAATTTTCCCATGAGCGATAGTGCTGAGACCGAGTCAGGGCTCCACGTTATTTGACGACTTGTCTGAGCCTTCCCTTGTCTTTACTAATTTGTATACTTGCTTGTTTTTTACGGTTGTTCATGCACCCTGTATTGTTCATGCTTTGCATTTTGCATTATTGAAATGAAAAAACCATGAAGAAAGGGTGAAACTATTAGAGGAAAGTCCGGTAGAAATGAAGCGCGCTTGTAATTGTAGCACGTTGCAGCGCATGGTCGCGCGTTACAGCGCTGTAGAGCGCGTGGCAGCGCGACGAGTCTGAATACTGCCTAAAGCTATTTCGTGTGCATGATGAGTTCTTGCAGAACGATAAGGGATAGTTGCGTTAGTTTCTCTTCTCCTGGAGACAATCGGGGATCAACACCCAACGGCCACTGTAAGTAGTTGTAAGGTCCGTCATGTGTAATACATCAATCTTGCGGACCGAGAAAGAATGAAGAGACATTGGGAACGGTACACAACTGTTGGTCATTTTGGGCGCTGGAGAGATAGATAGTATTCGCCCTTCTTGAGCCCTATATACACGCCTGATTAGTGAGGTAGTAAAACTACTACATATTCCTGATAGTTGATCGAAGGTGTCCACTGTCCTAGCCCCCCCCCCCTTGCCTCGCTGGACGGCAAGGTTTATGAGAAATTTGGTATAAGCGTAGGTATACTGAGGAAAGAGGTAGTGCCGTACCAAGAACGATTTTCTGGGTGGGGCTCAAATTCACCAAGAATCTGCACAACTTTACATAATGCGATGATGACTGAGTGGAACTGATGGAAAGCGTACTAGTCATTGGTGTGCCCTTCCTCCATTCATTCATATGGTAACAAGGAGTGACTCACCATTGAAGGCGGTTCAGTTGTCCAAGTGACTCCGCCCATACGGTTAGGGTAGAATGGGCCTTGTAATTTAAAAAAAAACCGAATGTTTATTAGGAAAATTTGGCGTGCCGCTCTCTGAAACCGTGTGAATATACTTGACGAGCGGATAAGTAAAAGAGCTACTGGGGTGTTTGGAGATGTGTTCCCTGAAAGTTTACAATGGATGTCATTCGAGGGTGAAACTTCTGGCCTCAGCGGTAAGGTAGAGCTTTTCAGCTTTCAAAGGGCTTATATGACACATCGGATGAGGTTTTTTTTCAAATTGTATCATTCTTTCTCAGGAATGGCATATGCCTCGTTGGCCGGAGTCCGACCTGTCAACGGCCTTTATACCTCTCTATTTCCGGCATTTTTCTATATGCTTTTCGGTACATCAAGGCATGTTTCATTAGGTGCGTTTGAATCCTGCTTGACCGTCGTCGACATAGATCTCGTATTTACTCGAGAATACTTGTTTACATTTGAACTAAACAAGGAAGCCGCCATGCTTCCGAGAGAACCTCACTGCTATTTTTACTGTGAGCAATACTATACACTTTTTGATGTTTTCAGGTGTTTTCGCTGTAGTCAGTTTGATGACTGGTAGTTGTAACCAACGAGTATCGGGTATCCTTGAACAAAAGGCTATTAACAATAATGGAAGCCTTCTCGAGGGTTTGAGTGAAGAGGCGAAAATGCAAACATCCGTCGCTATCGTCACTTCCCTGGCAATGTGTGTTGGCTTTATACAGGTAAGAGTTAGTTGTAGTGCTTACTATAGTAGCTCACAGAGCGAGCGTCTCAAACCTCCAATGAAGCCGCGTTCATACTTTGCGGCAACATTTACCAGCGTGCCGAGCGTCGGCATTAAGGATTTCGGTCAAGCTTTAACGACCCCCCCCCCATAGGGAATCCCAACCATGCTGTGCCCTGATTTACCTGCGTGCCGAGCGTCGGCAGCAGCATCAGCGACTAGGAAAGTATAGATATCGAGCGTCTGCCAGCGTCTGCTAGCGCCCACCAGCGACCAGCAGCGTCTTTAGGGTCAGGGAAGTATAAGTATCGATCTAGCGTCTGCCAGCGGCAGTGTCCGGGAGTGGAGTGTATGGGGTCTATACTATCCTAGTCGCTGAGCTGCCTGACGCTCAGAGCGGTGGTGGCCGCTATTAGTCGCTGGTGGACGCTGCCCAAAGTATGAACGCGGCCTAGACGGTCAACACTATGAATCAGTCCCCCAAGGTGAGAGCCTCATGAATACACATTGTCGGTGGTGGTCCCGGGAAAATATATTCGGTTCCATAAGGGAAGCTTCGCTTTCTGTACATCCGCAGCGGGTCGTATGCTGTCAGCGACGTGAGCGTATGTGGTAGGCATGTGATTGGTTGCCGCATTGAACCAATCAGAGCGCCCTCGTGGCTTTATCACACCTCTTTAACATTAGCCGCATTGAGGACTGAACCAAATCGTGATTGCACGAGGATTCACTACTTTTTCTACACGTTTGATAATTTAGGTAGCTATGGCAATTCTGCGATTGGATTTTCTCACAGCATTTCTTTCCGATCAAGTAGGTTTTCATTTAACCCTAGAGAATACAGAGCAGGGCTATACATATAACCACATTGAATGCATAACTTTGCGCTGTTTCAGATTATAGGTGGGTTCACCACGGGAGCAGCTGTGCATGTATTTACGGCTCAACTCAATAAAATTCTTGGAGTACCACTTCCTCAACGTTCTGGGCCAGGAAAATTGTTTTTTGTGAGTTTATTAATAGATACTGATCTTCTTCAAAGGCAGCTGATCTAATTTGTTTATAAGTTGAAAATGAAAGTGAAAGCAGTAAGCATGATTAGAAAGTAATTGAAGGAAAAAAAGGAAAGAAACCGTCAGACATTAGAGGAGTGACGTAAGATTCTGCCGTTGATTCTGGGTGGTGTACGATTTTGCTGCCATCGTGCCGATATCGCTTAGGGGCGGATCAATACTGACATAATGGCATTAGGTAATATACAGGGGGGCCAAAAAAAGTCACTTCGACCGAGTCACATATCAGCAAAGTTTTCGCAGCCCAGACAGAGGACGTGGATACGAACAC